AGAATGATACCTTAGTATTGATTTTTTTTGTGTTGACGAGATTACTTCAGCCTACTACTTGATTTTCAAGAATAGTAGGATCTGTTAATCCTTGGAGTATCGGGAGCATGCGTTGTCTATAGTTTTTTTTTTTTCAGAATTAAGCAAATAAAAATTAGTTTTTTTTTTCACCATGGCAAAGTTATTATATCGTTCTCGTTAATGAGAAACTTTAACTTTTGGGTATCATTTTTCGAGTATGTATTTTCGAGTTTTTAATTTGATTGAGTCTTTTTTTTTTATCGATGGATTATCCTTAGTTTGAGCTCATGGATTGATAGTTCCAGATTAAAGATGAAAAGAATGAAAAAAAAAATCTTGCAATACACGCCTGGATCGATGAAAGTAATGTTATCTGGTACGGGCACTCACTTTCGAGGTTCTATGGTCTCATACACTCCAACCATCACAGCAGCTTGGATCCTCGTGAAAAATGGGAGGGAAAAAAATTAATTGATCGTAAAAAACGAGAGCAATAATAGTAACGTGACGAGTGCACGGTATTTATTCTCTGTAACGTTTCGCATTCACAAACGAGCATTTGTGTGTATGTGTATGGGTTTGTGCTTGCAGGGCACAAATTCCTATTTTTTCCTGCTGCTCGTCCATTTTTTTTTTTTGCCACCGTTGTGTACGTGTACAGCATTGCTCTGTGCAGTGGCCTCGCGAAATGATGTCGGTATTTTATGGAAAAAATTACGAGAGCGATGGAAGAGGGAGAGCTGAAAATGTAAATTCGAGAGTCGTGGAGGAATTCTTGGGTCGGTGCAAATGGAAAGCTTGGTTATTAGAAATGAGACGAGGGACCGGCGAAAATTAATTTTACAGACCTTTTTCATTGGGATTTTTCGTGTGGGATGGAAAAATTGTTCGCTTCGTATGATTTGATGGGTGGAAAATGTTTTCCTCGAATTTGAATTTAACAAGCATAATAACACTACCAGTTACATGTACTCATTTGGTACTTTATTGACAGTTTCGATATTTCATTACTTGTCTGGTCTGGAAATAATAACGAATCAATAATGATACTTAAAGTTTTCCTAAAATTTGAAAAATGAATTATTATGATTTCTTAAACTCATCTTGGAAAAAGTATATACACATCTCCTATAAAATTACTAATTATTTGCATTATAAAGGCATTCTTTCATTTAATATCTCAAAGAAATAAACATCTGGCATGAAAAAAGTTTAATATGTAGTCTTATTTTCCAGTTATAAAAGCGAATTGCAAAGAAATACATCGTTGAAAATGAAAATGTCATCAGTGATAAAAAAAAATTTTTCACATACGTACTTTCATCGAGGATCTAAAACTTTGATTTATCTATAACGAAACAAGTAACTTTTAAAAGAAGATCAAACCACCCGATGGCAAAACTTTTATAACTTTCGAAAGAACAACAAACCGAACGAGCATCAGTTTGCCATCGTGCACGTACACGATGAAAAGTTTCGTTTCACTGCAATTCAATACTCATGACTCATAAATCATCGAAAGTTTCCGGCATCAGCAAAAGAAGGGGGTGACAAACAACCTTGTCTCCAAAAACTTATATACAGTATACACACGTGTCGCGCGTGTAGCCGCGCTGCCTTTAATAAAACTCTAAATTATGTTTTTCGAAGGTGCACGCACTTTGTAGCAGCACCCGGAGAGGACCGTAAAAAGTCTCCCGAAGTACTTTAATTACAAGCAACTCCTTGCCACGAGAAAGAGAGGTACACGCGGGCGCTAAAAAAGTTATTCCACCGCTGCGTTTCCCAGTCATTTTGCCCTCATTATTCACGCGCTCTCTCCCTCGGATACCCATTTATCCTCGTTTAACTTTTGCCTCCCTCGAGCTACCACTGCCGCGCCCCAGCTCTGGCTACAAGGCCATTGATTCAATCCTCTTTCACCGGCAGGTTTTTGCATTCTCATTCGAAGAAGCAATTATTCCAATTGCGGTACTTTCTCCTGTTTCCACTTTTATTATTTTCCACCGCAAAACTTTGTTCCCTCCTCGGGCAGCTGGAGATGGGAAAAAGAAAGGAAAAAGTACAGTCCTTGGCCTCGAATCGTAAAAGCGTATCCCCGTAAAACCTATCGGGAGTCCTTCGTTTCGTTTTACATCGTTACGATAAAGAGGAGCGCCGTAACGATGTCCGGTACTGTAAGCCAAGTCCGAGAGTTACGATTTTTTTTTTTTTTTTTTTTTTTTTTACTTTGTGGAAAAAGCTCTATTTCTCGTACGCGCGATTTGAAGTGTCCGGAGCTTCGAAGATATCTGGGGCATAAAGTTTTACTGCGATGGAGTTTACCTTTGTCGTGGTTTATGAAAGGAAAATAAGTACAATTTCGTCTCGTGTCTTTACTACCAGCGTAACCAGCAAATGAACCGTGACACGGGAAATATTTTCTCTTGTACTTTTACGATTTACGATTACTTGTATGTTACGTCGAAGAATAAAATAATGCCATATTTATTACCTTTCGAAGAAGCACAGGTCATCCTGTTGGATGTTGGTGAGCAGAACAAACATACTTTTCGTAAGCTTAGGTTTAGCTTAGTATACTGTCTGATTATCTGCTTTTTTGGCAAAGACAAGCTTTGGGTTATTGTATTTTTTGACCTCTTTCCGATATTTGAAAATTCAGGAATCATAAACACACCTTCGGTTCCAAAGACAATACATCTTTGTGGTGCATCCATTGTGGCTCACATCGCAAGATGATGGCTCGTTTACCTTATTGCAAGCTCCTCGACATGAATGTTGAAAGAAAGGGTGTGAATACAATAAGCTTTATGTTGTAAAGTTTTGAGTTGACTTTTAAGTTGAAAATGATTGATCTCTTTAATCCAACTGTATGTGTCATTGCACACGTAGACTTATCTAGAAGCAGCTACAGAAGAAAAGCTATAGTTATAATATCCTTTTTTGATGAAATTACTATAAACAATACGCTTATTTTTACAAAACGTTGAAAATTGGTGTGCCACAAGTTTTTAATAAATTTTTTTCCTCATTTGCAATTTTATTTGCATTAGCTATAGTTTTCAGTGTAATGAGCAAAAAAAACTTTTGTACCATAATAAGCTCTGTTTCACAATTTTTCGCCAGCAACTCGTTATAATTTTGATTCGATGTAAAATTTCCAACTTTTGCTAGCTGAGTAACAGTTAATTACTGTGTAAAGAGGAAATTTAAAATTACAGTACATCTTCCAGTGGTGTTTGCTATGAAAATTCTGGAAGACAAATATTTAGGACAACGTAACTCGAACAATATACAAAATGTACGTTAAACCAGCCCACGTAACGCGCTCAAAAATGATTTCTTCGCAGGCAGAACTGATTAAAAAAGTTAATTTCGCAGAAAGGTAAATTTTCCGTAAAAAACTTTCCTCCCGGTCCTTCGAGGGTAAAACCGAAACTTTCGGTCGATGTAACGACTCACCTTAAAGGCGAGAGTTGGAAGTTGAGCGAAATATCAAACTTTGGCCGTATAGTTGTAATCCTTCGAAAACGTATGCATATTCTATGCGTATCGTGAATTTTCATTGTTGACCAAACAAGAAAGAAAGAAAAAAAAAAAAAAAATGTGTAACAAAACACGCGACGAGAAAAATAGTCTCTATGTCGAAGAGAGTACATTGTACGCGGGGGGTTATCGATTTTTCGCGCACTTCCAATAAAGCCAAGTACACCGCTCGAAACTCTGCGTAAATATACGTGTGTATGTGTGTGTACGTGCATTACAATCCAGCCCCGGAACCCTTATGCACCGCCAAGACTTTTGCGTATACGTGCGGAAACGCGGTGTACTCGTTTCCCCGGTTTCCAGTGCAATCGATGCTCTATTTCGCTCTCCCCACGCGTAAAAACAAAAAAAGCGTGTCCTGGGTAATGCGGAGGATATGCTTTTTCATACCCTTGTTTCTTTGGGTGGCTGATTTTTTTTTTTTTTTTTTTTTTTCTTGATCACGCGTTTCTGGTTTAAAGGAAAAAACGAGTGTTCATCAATTTCCAATTAAATCTGCGGTCGTAAGAGCTACTTCAGCCTCAGCATTTTTGTACAACGATGATTGAACTCGCAAGCACTCGTGTATTTCTTTGTTAGACTTGTGTGAGCTTATTTGCTGTCCCAATGATGAAAATTAGAAACTGGATTTCAAGCGAAAGATAAAAAAAAGTCGTCTACCACAAAAAGGACACAAGTAAAATGAGGAGTCGAGCTGGCACACGAGAGTTACCTCAATTAAAATCCAACCCTTTTCTGGGACGTCAAGTAACTTTCGCTCAAGCTCTTGCAAGCTCACTGTGTGAAAAACAGAGAGAAAGCGATCGAGAAGCTTACCGAGTCGACGAAAGAGCAAAGAGACGCGAATAAACAAAGTGAGAGGAAATGAGACGGAGCACTCGAGAAAGACCACGTATGTATATACGTTTCAGTCGAAGAAGGTGGTTTTGGGGGGGGGGGGGATGCAAACAGGATCCGACTTGGAGATGGTGTTTCTCGAAAAATTTTGTCCACGTCCGGGTCATTGCAGCTGCTGGACCAGGACGTGGGAGACACGAGGGAGCTTTTTGATTTTAGCCCAGAGATCCACTTGGCGTGAATACGCGAAGAGCGATGGTCGTGAAAGAGAGCGGAACGATAACGAGACGGGGAGAAGCGAGTGTTGATGTGAGAATCGACGTGGACCGAGGAATGTGGCTCAAGCCGTTTTTTTCTCGGACTTCGTCGAATTTGTTAGTTTTACAATATAAATATTGCTTTAAATGCAGTAAATAACAAATGGTATGGTTTTCTTCGGAAATAAAATTTATATAAACTTTCAAGCTCAATTGATAACAGAAGATTTTATTTAACTATATTGTTAAAAAAAAAAAAAAGAAAGAAAAAATCAATCGACTTCACCTTCTTGGTATACAAATAAAAAAAAAAAAAAAAAAAACAATCACTCATTCACTTCATACACCATTGTCGGCTGGAGCATCAACCTGCTCAACGGCGGCACACTTGAGTATCTTTTTCTCCAAAAACAGCTCAAACTCCTCAAAGGTCGGAAAGTCGTCGTTCTTCTTATTGCCGACCGCCGCCCACCACTCGGAGCGCAGCTCGAGCGAGAGCTTGTTCTCGACAAAGAAGATGAGGACACTGCCCCAATGCTGCACGGGGCACTTAAGATCCTCGAGGGCGGATCTGCTGCTGCGATCGACGTTCAGCGAGTACTGCAAGCTGCCACTAGTATCCAAATCCATCCGAGGCAAATCGTTGAGGGTTCGCAGGTGGTGCCTGAGTCGCAGGTTTTTATTGGCGTAGCGGTACTGCAGGGTGTTCCAGGCGAGCAGGAAGTTGTCGCCCATCACTTGGATGCCTCTGATCGCCTCGGAGGCTTCGCCGCCCAAACAATTGATCAGGTGACGGAAGGCTTCGATCGCCGACACGTTGCTGTTCTCCACCACGAGCTCTTCGAAGATCTCCTTGAAGGACTCCCAGTCCTCCTGGTTGCCGTTGAAGGAGGGAAGCTTCATGCTGGACTCGATGGTCTTGATGGGCTTGGTGGCCATTGTTGGAAAAGCTTCGGAGGAAACACAGGGATTTTAGACCGTTTTTACACACCCAATATTAATATTTAATACAAAAATACAGGAATACTCACTTTGAGCCAAAGTATTTTACGATAATGGTACGAGTTTATTGGTTTTATTACATTAACTTTTTTTTATTTTATTACTTTCATACGAAAATTCAACTGTAGTGGATAAGTTTGTTTTGTTGATTTGAATCGAGACAAGTGCGAGTGTAGTTAGTACTGACTGACGTGAAAAAGACAGTTTTCCCTGCGAGGAGTGTCTTGCGATAGTGCTCAATACAGTGGGAGAGAATTACTGTTATAACGAAGTTCCGAGCAAAACAAACATTATGCTATATCTACAAACTCATGCGAGCATAGGTGTTATTTAAACACTCTCCGAACTCGAATTTGTGGAATCCATTAGTTCATGGTAAATATTGAATGTAATTGGTTGTCTTCGTGCTCTTGGTACTGAACATTATCTTGTTTGATGAAATTAAAATCATGTGACTAGAAAAAAATAGCTTTATTATGCCAGTCTCATGAATTGCATTTTTCAATGAATGACAACAATCAGACAGTTAATTACGATTATGTAAATTTTATACATAAACGTACAGATGAATGAAAATCACCTAAATGGTCTTACGCGAAAAGCCACATGAGCTATCCCAGTCGTCATAAAGAGAAACGAGACTTGATCCCCATACGTAAGCTTGATCCAATATTTTCTCCACCAATTTGCTTCACCTGCACGAGATATTATGCTACACTCGTACACGGAATAACTGCAGCCTAATGCAATAAAGTCCCTTTTCTCTCTCAGTCTCTTCCTTTGACGACGATTGTGGGTTTTCTGGGCGAGGGGGAAAAAGCTTCCAGCGCACCACCACCGGCAGCTGCTTGCGTGAGCAGTAAAGCTTGGAATCAGGACGGAAGAGGGGGACCTGCACCCCGCGACTACTGTCCTTTCCTCGGCTCCGTGTCCTCTTCATGATCCTCCTCGGGCGACTATAAATATTGTCGTTCAAAGGTATGGACTGTGAGGTTTAATTTCGAATGGGAGGATAAAAAGGACACGGTGGCCGTGCTATAAATCGTCAGATTTCTTTGGTTGGTGAAAAAGTGCATTTAGGGAGGACATTTGGTGATTTTTTTTCTTTTCTTTTTTTTTTTTTTCTTAAGTCGATATCGGATCGCGTTTAATATTTTTTAATTAAATTTCACAAAAGTATTTGATGGGCATCCACATTATGTTGTCTGAAAATTCATCGGATAAGACTTTCCCATCACGTGGGTTAAATCTTTAGATTTATGGATCAAATAATTAAGCTATTAATATTGTGTGGTAATTAAAAAAGACATTTCATATGAATTTTTGACGAGGTCAAGAGTAAAACATATTTTTCGTACTTTTAAGAATGTTTTAAAGAAAATAGTTTTTGGAGATTTTAAGAAAATTATTTAATAGTTAAAATATATTGTGATGACCAGACTTCAATCTATGTTTTTCAAGCTAATCTTTTCATTTACATCGAATGATTTTTCCTTTAATTAAAATCCAACCCTTTTCTGGGACGTCAAGTAACTTTCGCTCAAGCTCTTGCAAGCTCACTGTGTGAAAAACAGAGAGAAAGCGATCGAGAAGCTTACCGAGTCGACGAAAGAGCAAAGAGACGCGAATAAACAAAGTGAGAGGAAATGAGACGGAGCACTCGAGAAAGACCACGTATGTATATACGTTTCAGTCGAAGAAGGTGGTTNCAATACTCTTTCAAAAAAATTTTTGGTTATTGAATGTCAAAAATCTGCTCTTCCAAATACTACAAGCTTAGTCCCAAATTACTTCAGAACCTCTTTAAGTTAGATTTATAAGCGATCATATGTGTAACAATTATAAAAATAAGTATTTTTGAGAAACCATTCACCTTCATGAATCAGCATTGTGTAGGAACTGAGAGCGATTTTAAATAATTTTTTAGAAATTTCTGAAAGCCATAAATAGATATTCCTAACTGATTAAATGTTACATGAGTTACAAATACTCCTTCTTTGTATTTATAAAAAAATCTTTAATTTCCAGGCTGTACTTATAATTATATCACGTTTAAAATTTAATAAATGTATTTTTATTCGGGAAAATACTGGCCTTACAGTCCAATCTATTTTTAAATTATATCAATACTGAATATTTTTCGGGATAACGGTTATCTTAAACTCAATATTTCTGTTAGAAAATAATAAACTACCTTGATATAGATTTTCGGCTTTAAATGGATCGAGCTCCTGTAACGTATTTTACGATGCCTCTATAAAAGAACGACTTATGACTCCTCCAAGTAATATAATTAAAACGTTAAACGGATTTTCAAAAGATTGCATATCCATACAAATAGCAAATCGATATTTATATTCTTTACTCTTTCACTTCTGCAAATACTTTCTCGCTCAAATTCTCCGAACCTAAAAGCTGTAACGAAACGGTACATAATAAAAAAATTCAACGGTGCCAAAGCTCTAAAAATATTTTATTATAAGTAGCTAATGCGGTAAATAAATGAATGAGTGAGTAAATAAACGAATAAATATAAGATATGCGTGCGTTAAATTAAAAAATTTTATTTCTTTTTGTTTCGTAAATTTTTATACTTTCAATACTAGCCACACTTATTTTTTCGACCATACAAAGACTGGGCATAGTAATATTATGAATTTTCAAGAAAAAACTTTTTTTTGCATATAGTTTATTGCAAAGTATTTAAAATAAAATATTTAGTAATATTTTTTTAAATACCATAATTTTTTTTCTTTCACATTGCATTGTTTTCTATGAGAAAAAATGTTTGTGTTAAGTAGTATATTATAATTGCTAATTAAAAAAAAATGTATGCAGTAGTATTAATAACGCATATTTTTGAAAAAAATTTTGTTGAAAAATAAAAATACCCATGCTTCAGTTTGATCACATAGTATATACTATACAGTAATGTTACCTACTAGGTATATGTATTTACTCTATACACTGCCTACTCTCGTCTCCTCAAAATTCCTATCTCGCCGTATTCGCATGAGTTAACTCGCTGACTTTCACAGTTTCCTTTGTTTATCTTTTTTTTCCCTGCTCCCTCACACGTCCCATCCGCTTGGATACATACATCCAATTTTTTTAACATTTCAGCCTCTTTATTTGTTTGTCGATACATTAAAATATACATTTATGGGTACGCTGATCCATGACCCTATACCATTACAAGAAATAATAAAAATCTAAAGATGTGAAAATATTATTGCCACGTGTGTACAGAAATATTTTTTTCTGTTTTGCAGGATTATTTTGTTTCATTTCTATCGATAATATGTTATCATCGAAAAAATGCGTCGTATAATTTATAAAGTTGTATATATTTTCTTATTCTTTTTATTTTGTGTTTCGTATAAAAAATTATTCACCCATTCTACTAGGAAACCATATACGTTGGATTTCTACATTTTTTATTAAGAGACGCCAATCCGTAGATTTTATTCGTCATAATGATTAAAATCACGCAGACTCTTATTAAATCGATGTAATTACTCATTTGCGATACGACTTCCACTCAGAAGCTCGTGGCGACCTACATGTGCCCTTCCGCAAGTTATTATACCACGAACTCATTCTTCATTAATGAGCTCGGCTACTGCAACTAATGTAATAATCTCTCCCCAAGATGTTACCCATTATTGTATCCACTCGGCCTCATAATGATGCTCTCCAAGACCATTCCGTAATACACTAATTGTAATGGCTGTGCGATTAATTTTCTAGAATGTTACATTCGATTATTTCAAACTTTCTTCCTCAAACGTAAATGTACATGTACTCACTTTATTTGGTAAGAAAACAAATTGTTTATTCATTTCATTCTGTAAACTATCTTTTTGTTTATGTTACACACTAATTTTGTCAAATTTTCTCATCAAGCTAATTCAAATAATACCTTCTAGAAGACATCACGAAAAAATACATGATACGGTCAACTGCAGAGTCATAAAAATCATATTTCACCTATACTGCTTTGAGATAAAAAAAAGTTTGGGCTTATTTTACGTACGATTTTCAAAGTTCCATAAATTTTGCTCCAAGAGTATGACATTTTTCACACTGGACACTTTTTTCCATGTGAATTTTCTCAACTGCAGTTTACATCAGTTTTGCAAAATGGACCGTTGGAATGTTAGAAAAAAAAAACTCACATTTTCTATATTGATTTAAAAAATGGAAAAAAAAAAAAATTTTGTATACTTCATGGACTTTTATTACTACTTGTGATTAGTCAATATATATATAGGTAAGGAAAAACGAGGGGAAAAAACAACTAGGATAATTTTTAATAATTACTGTATTTTCAAAATAAACATTATTGTTGTTCTTTTTTTCTGTGTGCTGATGGATTTTCATAAAACTTATTCGTGCGCGTCGTTTCCATTGAAAAAAAAGGAGAAATTGTATTCAGAATTTGTAAATCTTTCTCTCTGTATTTCCATGCTTATCAAGACCAAAATAAAAAAAAATACTAAATTCAGAAAAGTGAGAATTATTTATTTCTCAAAATTAAATAATTTTCTGCAAAAATTTTTCAAAAAAACGCTCAACTTCGTATGGACATCAAACGGTACAGTAAGGAGGAAAAAAAAGCACAAAAACGCCCATCACCACAGCTCCATTAGTCGCGCCTTTTCCATTAGATTTACCCAACTCCTTGCTCCAACTTGAAAAAAGCTCTCGACGCCTGATCAAAGCTCAATGATCCGCCTCAGCGCGACGAGACGAATTTTGCATTAAACCCACGCTTGTACACACCCCTAATATCCTCCCTCCTCCTCTTTACCAGTCGATAAAGCTACAAAAATCATCGAAAACGTTGTAACAAAATCACGAAGCGATTGCCATTTGACATTTCAGAGCCACAAACCTCATCTGCACCCACATATAACTCACTCGCTCTCGCTGCTCACACACCTACTTATACCTATATGCGCGTCAGTCATACCCCCACGTTAATGTACGCGCGTTTATTTTCGCGATATACTCCCCGCTCGTGCATCCTACCCCTAGCTCGTTATACACACCCTTTCCCGGTTTTATATATATATATAAATAATAAACTACCTTGATATAG